CAGACTGGGCCGCGCCTCTCCCCCCACCACCCCCTTACCTGCTTCAGGCTTCCCGCGAATGAAATGTTCGCGGGAAGCAGGGGAAGGGGTGGAGTTGGGGCAGGGGCGGGGCTGGGGGCGGGGCCGGGGCCCTGTGGAGTGCCCTCTTTTTGGACACTCAAAATATGGTAACCCTAAATATCTATTGCATTATAGATAAACTAAGAAGGATTTTTTTTTTGGATAAAGCATAAGACTTTTAGCCAGAACACTTGGATTCTATTCTTGGTTCTAGCACAGACTTTTTGTGTGATCTGAGGCACTTCATAATGTTCTAAATTCAGTTGTAGTATAAGTGGTTCCCAATTCCCATTGACTTCAATGGGAACTACACCATCTTACACCAGATCTGAATTTGGTCCTAAATTTCTTTGTGCCCATTTTCCTCATTTACAAAATGGAATAAATAACAACCCGAAGTGGTGGTGTGTAAAGTTAAATTCATCAATGTCTGTAAAGTCCTCGGAGATTCTTGAATAGAAGGGGTGATACCTTGTTAGTGCTAAGAGTTGTGAAGAAAATAATTCCACATTCATGTTCCTACCATCATCAGTGTCTTGGGATTTAAAGTGCTATCTGACTTGTTCTAGGTGCACATCAACAAGTGATCGTCTGCAATGAATCGCTCATGTTAGAAAAGTTGCCCAGATGTGGAAAATCCTTTGAAGAGATGATGAAGAAAGTGGACTCTAAAAAATGGTGCAACCTAACAGAATTTATCCCGTAAGTTTCATACTTTTGTCTTTATTATTTATTATTTAAGGGTGTCAGCCTTTTAAAAAGTCAATTGCATCAAGTGTCAGGAACAGCTCTATAAATACCAAGGATGTGGTGATTCCCCACTAGAATCAATTTGGACATCAGTTTGTTTATTGTGTTGGATTCAAACTCTCACTAATCTGTGGCCAAATTCTGCAAAATTTGATGGGAATATGGAGGCAAAACTTGTACTGAAATCAAAAGAAAATATTAATGACACTTTGAAGTTAATTGGAGTTCTGCCTGAGTAAAAACTGCTGGATTTGGCTCTTTTTTTATTGCAGCAACAAGGAAGTATGAAAAATGGCTACATAAACTGGCAGCTCCATTACCATTCTCATCTGCTGCAATCCACCTCACACCACTCCCTGTGGTTAGCTGAGATTTATATTCAGCACTTAGTGGATACATTATCTGGTACCTGCTGAAAGCAGATGTACCACATCTTAAATTACTTACGTTCTAGATACAGTTTCTAACACTGAAACCCCATGTACTTGATTCTCTATTCCAGGGGTCGGCAACGTTTGGCACGCGGCTCGCCAGGGTAAGCACCCTGGCGGGCCGGGCTAGTTTATTTACCTGCTGACATGGCAGGTTTGGCCAATCGCGGCCCCCACTGGCCGTGGTTCACCGTTCCGGGCCAATGGGGGCGGCGAGAAGCGG